TCATCAGATGCCTATTCCAAAAATACTACTAACGAGTCAGCAAGCAGATTTTCACGAAAAACATCTTGCGGGCCCTCAAGTTGCACATACCAATGGATCCACAACTTTGTGGAAGGGCAGCTGATCTTTCCGAGCTTCCTGCATATGTAAAGAGCGTGTGAGATCATAATCATATGCAAAGAAAAAATTGCGCGACGCAAATAAGAGTTTCGTGTAGCGAAGCAATTTTGGCAGCAACTCCACAGCCTGGCCAGATTTGGGCCGATCAGGCTCGCTCTGGACCCCGGCCTCTTCAGAAAGAGCTTCATCCACAGCTTCATGTTTTGCCTCACTGGCATCGCCTGAAAGACTGGAAGCTTCGTCGAACGGAGACTCTGGCACATCCTGCTCTAGAGCTCCAGGTCTGGGCAAGCCCAAGTTGTTGCGCGATACCCAATTGGCTGCAAATCTGCCGAAGCGAAATTTTTTCGCAATCACGTCTTCTGAAATACTGCCGACGCTGGTGCAGCAGGCATGGGATGTACCGCAAGTAGGTGATGCGGGCAGGCTGCCGATCTCCACCTCCGCCTCGGCTCTGTCGGTCTCGTTATCGGGGAGATCATCTTCGTCGGAGAAAGTTTCAATGGTGACTTCCTCTTGTGATGATTCTTTCTTGGCTTTTCTGATGGCGCGGGAAGCATCTGCTTGGGATGAGATCGGAATAATCGCGACGTTGGTTACAGCGTAGATCGGGCGGCCTTGGATCTGCGCTACTTGTTGACGCTGTGTGATGGAAACAAGAAATGTGTAAGAAGCGACAGACAAGAGACCTGCAGCGGCAGCGCTCTGGGATTAGTTTCTTATTTCAAACTCCACTCAGTTCGTCGACATACCTATGAGACCGTAGGCCTCAAGGGCGTCCTTTCCGTCGAGGGGCTCCGAGGCGCCAGCAGGCAAGGAGGTGATTTTGTCCGCCTTGTAGTTGATGCGGAGGGATGAGGACTCATTGTTGCTGCTAGCGGTATTCCGTGGTCCGCTGGCCTGAGCATGTAAGATCAGACCGTCGACTGTGGCGACAATCGCCAATTTGTGCAATAAAGCGGGCATTGCGCGAGTTCCCCACGTTCAAGGAGAACAAGATCACACAGCTGCCCTTCCAATGACGTCTATGGGCCCTTTGCAAAAACACATGTAGCCAAAGACACTCAGCCTGAAAATTTAAAGATGTAGGAATTGAAAAAGCAAGAATCTCAGATAGGCATGTTCCATAAACAGCTGACCTGCAAATACATCATCTGCCCAGCCCCACCCAGATAATTCGCCAGTCTGTCTATTCTGCAGAAATCCAACTAGAACTATATACAAGCCTCTCACCACGCCAGATCACCGATAGAGGAAAAAGAAGAGATGAAAACAGACAAAACAAAAAGACATCAAACCCCATCCATCCAGAGAAACCCAGAGTCATATTCAGTCGTTCATACAGACATGTCCAGTGCCTGATGGGTTCGCCCGAGTTTCAATGCAAATCTGACATTTTCGGGGAACAGTAAAAATACAAGTCGAGATCAAGCCCGTGGAAGGGAAACTTGCAGCCGAGTGTGTAGAGAGGAAGGAGAATCATTTCAAAGACCTTGTTACAAGGCGAGGATTGGAATCAGACCTTGACACAACCGCGATCAGAGCTGACTGTTTCGCTTGGTGTGCACTGCAGTCTGTGTGTTGGTCCGCGGGAAAGTCGGACCTGGCTCCCCATCACTTGTTTCGGTCAAGGTGTGCATGCTGATCCCATTCTCCGCATCGAAAGCTTGGATGAGGCCTTCACGGTCGCTGTTTCCATTGAAATATGCGCTCGAAGAACTTCGACGGGACTGCATTGAGCGACGAGTCTGGAAGCTCGTTATACCGTCTGTTGGCACTCCATCCTCGTCAAATTTTAAATTCACCATCGAGTGTCCATCAGGGTCATGCCGTGAGAGGTTCAAGAGGTACACCCCGGTGAAGATGGTAAGGAATCCACAAAGTAGGGATATGGTATTGACGGCGTCGGTGGTGTTGAATCCCTTGAAAAGGATGAAGGAGGCACAGAGGGTCGCGGTCGTGAAGGTGACATAGTAAAGTGGGTTCACGCTGTTGAAGGAATCATGTTAGTCTCGCATCTTTGTATTGATTGAGGCTTACACTCACATCGAAGTCGAAAAAGAGTTCAATGCCTTGTTGAAGTAGTTCATCTGCGTCAGAATGCAAAAACCAGTTACAATAGCAAAGACATAGGTGGATGCGTGGACAAATTGATTGTTGCCACCAATGGTCAATTTCAATGCAATCCCAAAGGCCTTGACGGACATGACAGAAACCGACCCAACAGTGGAGCAAATCGAGATGTAAACGAGAGGGTTCTTTTTGCCATAGATGGGCGCAACCCGGTAGATCATCAGAGTCGAGAAAACCGCAACTGCGACACAGTAAGAAAGGAAACCTAGTCGCAAAGTCAGCGGTGGGTTTCAGGCGCCGGACGCCGATCAAGTCTTTGTACCTGGCTGAACCGCATATCCAAGAATCTCATCGACTGTCTCCACCTGCTTGTCTGGAGGCGCATGGAGAACAATGACAACTGATCCCAGCAAGCACATCGCACAGCCCAATTTTCCTAATACACCAAGTATCTCGTTGAGGAAGTACGAGCTCAGGACCGCACTATGTCATGTCAGCTATGAGATTATGCACGCCATTGGGGAAGAGATCCCGACCCGATCAGAACACTCAGCGCACCAAGGGGCGTGACCAGAATTGCAGGCGCAAAGGCATATGCGGCAAAGTTGGCGACTTCACCAAGGGCCACTATGAGGATATTAGCATCACGGAATGTCGAATTTGGCGAATAGTTTCCATACGTGTCACTATACCACTCCACCACACAGGACTCTTCAGATATGAGAATCCTTCACCCTCAAACCCATGTCGTTCGGAGGCATGCATCAAGCCCTGTATTCAGACGCATTAGCGACTCCGCTCCGATGCTCATCGCTTTAGACCGAATTGCCGCGGTATTTGTCCAGCGCGCCCAAGATCCAAGTGCCCATTTCCCGGAAAAGTTCGTGGTACACCAACCTTTTTGGTGATAACAAAACTCGTACCGATAGCCATGGTGGATACAATGGCTAAAATAAGCCCGACGTATCTACAAGGGCGCAGCGCGCAACCATGTTAGAGTTGACCAGCTTGCCCTCGAGGAGGGGAGGGGGGGGGGGGGGGGAGGGGGTTCATTTCATAAAGGAGTTGGAAGAGCCGTACTTATCTGGAAGCATTTTGACGTGATAATTCTAGGAGCCGGGAGCTCCTACTGTCGAAAGACCTCCAATGCCGGTAATAGATCGGGGAATGAGCGAGAGACTCGGGTGAGCAAAGGAAGGGGTTCGTGGTAACAAGCCAGGGACTTAAGGACTAGCGGAAAACAAAGGGAGCGAAAGACAAAACAGAAAAACGAGCCAGCCCGAGAATTCTGTTGAGTAAGTAAGATGTAAAGAAGCTTGGAAGGTAGGTAAATGGCCAGAAGCCAGAAGCCAGAGAGAGAGTGATGTGCCTGCGTGCGGTGGGGTTCCGTTTCAAGCCCGATCGGGGGACGCGTAAGAGAACAACGGGGCTAGAGGGCTTGGGAGGCTTGGGAGGCTTGGGAGGCTTCCAAGTACCGAGATGATTTAGGGATGCTTTAGGGAATTTTTAATTTTGATTGAACCTTTTTTTATTAGATTTATTTACACCATATCTAAATATGCATAGATAATGTAGAGCCTGAAATAGAATAGGTGGCCCCAACCCTTGTACTAGTATTTTATGCACTGTTTACGTCCTACAAGTATGTACATAACACACTGTACCTAGGTCACCACCATGTATATTGTATGTTGTATTCCGTATCACCCATCACTAATATCTATTATATTTATAGTTATGGATACTTGTCGATGTACCCAATAGGTATAGATTCCCAATGTTAGTCTCCTTTATTAGAATAAAAGCCAATTGGACCCTGAAATGAGGCCAAGACCGGCCTTTCAGCTGCCTCCGAATGCGGCGTTGGTTTCTATACTTAGCCCGAAATCCCCAGATACTCGGGTCCACTGCATGGCATTATTTAGTGTGGCTGAAAAACCTACAAACGGGTGACTTCCGGGGTCCGTACAGAGTTTAGAACTACATGTGTGGTACTATTGCAGCTAGCTAGCCAACTATCTATGACCTATACATGTCTCTGCAAAGCATCATTCTATTCTATAATTTCCTGATCTCCGCCATCCCCGGAATGTTGCTCCTTTGTGCCCCATAATATTAGCCAAATTAGGCAGATCAGCATCTCGAACCGTGGGGGATAGCATCAAATGATACCAATTCAAAAGAATTGAGACAATGTGACAATTAAATTATGAATTCAGTTGTGGAAGCACTTAAAGAGCATACATCTGGAAAAGCATATGGGGCAAAGGTTCATTGGTAGAATGCTACAAACACGTGGACTAACCCATCGCGCCGATACGCCAGATCCTAGGGAAAATGCATAGAAAACACGCAGCCCAAACGGGCACCCATCAACACCGAACAAAGATTTTGGGCCGAAGATCGGCAGTGGTATCTCGAATCGCAATGGCAGGGGAAGAGTAGTAAGAACAAAATAAGAAGAAAACGCAAGAATAGATGGTGGGCAGTTGATGGTGTCGAGATCACCCGGAGTTTGATCCAGATGCGGGATGGAGAAAGAGAAAGCGTTTGCCCCCAAGGAGGTTGATAGCATGCGCATGCTGGGGGAAGGGGTCGAACATACCTGTGTTCTGTCAGTAGTCGAACGAGACGTCCATCGGTCGAGGTCATTGCTGGCAAGGATGATTATTAGCATGTAGGAAGGTGATGGGTCGCGTGGAACGAGCATCAAGGGCTAGACTCGCTGGACACCAGGCGTGACGAATGGCGGAGATTGTAAAAATAAAAAGCCCCAGGGGTCGAAGAAAGAAAAGTGGGAGCGTGGTTTACGAAGAGCGGCGACGTTTGATGTCAACTGTGGAAACCACCGGGTCGCAGTCGTCTTCATCATCGCGAGACCGTTTGGCGGACAAGCTCTGGTTGATTCGGGGGATTGACAAGGAAGGGTCTGTTCCAACCAGCTCTACAGCCTCCGAATCGTCAAAATGGGTGTCATAGTCGCCAAAATGGTTCTCGTCAAACTCATGGTAATCAGCGCCCTCATCATCGGCAGCAAGGGGGGCATCGAATTCTTCCTCAGGATCATTGTAGTCTATACCCTCGAAATTATCAAGGGCATCGTCCTCTGTGTCTTTCGGGGGATTCTGCGTCAGGTCTACAGCGATTCCAAGTAAATCATCTGCAGGCTCTGGTGTTTGTTCCTTCTTGTCAGAGGCGCCATTCAAGCCGCTTTCAAGCGGCGGTGCCCGCCGGTCATGGGAAGGGTGGTTGTTCTCATCCTGTAGAAGAATTTCCGAGACAAATTCGTCTGTCGGCGGGGCATCTAACTCATCTGTGTCGTCTTCATCAAGGACAGACGTCTGATCAGCTGGTTCTTGAGCATCAACATCAGCATTTTCACTGGCAGTGACATCTTTTTGGAAAGCCTCTGAGTCATCGACCGAGCCAATGTCCTCGTGCTCATAGTATTCCTCGGCTCCCAGATCATTATTCTCAAGGTCCTCTCCGTAGTAGTGCTCGTTGTCTTGGTCTGTACCGGCGTCCACAACAACGTCCAGAGGGACATGATGGATATGCACTTTGATATCGCTTGCGCCAGGCAGTGCAGCGACCGTGGCAGTAGAATCGCTTTGTCGGCCTTCGGAATCATAGTGCTCTTCGTTCATATCGCCATGGCCATGATCGTGTTCTTGATCTCTTTCAATATGGCGAGATTCATCGAAGTGATCTGACTCTTTGTTCTCAGGCTGGACTAGATGAGATTGAGACTCAGGTGCAGCTTCAACACTTCGCACACTAGAGGCAGATCTATCCTTCTCCTGCGCATGCAAGATCTCTAGTTGAGCGTCAGAGACAACTTCAGCCTGGACCTGAGACTGTTCGCTATTTGGCGCTTGCTCTTCTTCGAGTCCTGGAGTCGTTTGCACTTCCGCGATTGACTGCTCTTTTTCGGCCTCGGCGGTGTAGAAGACTTCGTCTTCGTGCTCCTCAGCCCCATGGGCGCCAAGGTCCTCATCGGAACCTGCTTCGACTTCATCGTATTCATCCCATGTATGAAGCTCAAAATGAAGCTCGGAAAGTTTCTTGCCTTCAATTGCAGCGTCATTGAGATCTGCGATCTCGGCGGGGAACGCACGCTTAGTGCTCAGCGTAAGATAGAGTGCATCGGGATCGGTGGTACCATCATTTCGACAAAGTCTAAGATAAAGATCTAGGATCTGTTGCAACGTAACCTGAGACGTATGGAATGAGTCCTGAAAGCACAAGTCAGTGAGTTTGCCGATATAAGATCATTGAGAAGGCATTTACCTCCGTCATTTGGATACCGAGGGTGTCAATATCGATGACCAGGACCTCATTGCCTGCCATTGTTTTTTGAAGCACATGGCGCAGCGCCTTGAAGATTTCACCAATGTTCTCGTAAGCTAAAGCTTCATCTTCAATAAAGAAGGTGTCCGCCAAGTCTCCCTCAAGGGGAGGGAACAGAGCGATCTCACAGTCCTGATACAGAATTTTGACTGGATGAAGAGACTCATCGATGTATGCGACGTGTTGAAGAGATGTATCCTCATCTGCAACCAGGTGATTTTCCTCAGACAAAGGCTGCGCTTCTGGGTGCGCAGCTTTATGAGTGTGGTTATCTTCGGTGGAATGTTTGATTTGACTAGTCTCCGAGTCTTCCTTGTGAACTTGCGTTGCTTCAGTCTCTGACACAGCAGGGTGTGATGTCTCATTAGCCTCTTCACCAATCTCTGACTTTCCATAATGACCGCTGGTTTCGGAACTGATACAGGTTTCAGATGGTTCCTTAACAAGGTCATCAGCATCAGCCGTGCTTAGCTGGGCCTGCGTGTCTAGGCCCTCAGCTCCAGAAGCCTGAGCTTCATTTTGAATGGAAGCAAGTTCCACAGAGCCACTTGAGCCTTGAGGTGCTGCCTCGAGGGGTTCCACGTTTGTGACTGTAGCATCCCCCTTGACGGTGCTGGTAGCGTCTTCGATGCTGCCTGCAGGTTCAAGATGAATGACAGGAGTGGCAATATTGACGTCTTCGGCCTGATCAGTCTCAATCATTTCTTCTTCGTATGGCTCTTCTTCAAACTGAACGTCAATATCATTGTCTTCATCGGCGTAGTTGTCAGCGTCGATCATCGATCCTTCGGAGGGTTCATCGGCCATGTCGGCATCGTAGATCGCGTCATTGTTGAGTTCGTTGGGGTGGGAGGTACTTGTAAATTCATCTGCACCCATCATTTCACTGTCCATGTTCGAGACATGGTCCTCCATGAGGTCGATATCGAAGTCGAAATCGTCAACCTGCCCTTGATAGGGTGAAGCCATCTCCATAGAATCGCCTGTAGCCGGGACTTCCATTATGGGGTATGCGATTAAGGAAGCTGTGGTCATGGCAAAAAAACGCGTAAAGATGTGCTCTGAGTTATGAGTAGTGTTGGAAAGTTCAGCAATGGCGTTCCATAAGAGCGGTTGAAACAAGAGTTGAAACTGAAGGAGGAAAGTTTTCGGCGATATCGAGAGCAAAAGGCTAGAGAAATAGCGAGAGAAACGATTTACTGAGCGTTGGTGATGTGTATTCAACTCGTGGGAGAAAGATGAAGTGAAGAGAAAGTGTCTGGTCGACGACTAAGCGAAAGGAATGCACGGGCCAGCCGCCGCCGAAGTGAACAGAGTAGCTCCCTACCGCTGCCAACCATCAACACCAGGGCGTACACTTCTAGCTAACCCTACGCTTCTCTATCTTTCTCTGTACTCTTTTCATTAATCACTCATTAATTGCCCTTTGTGTGCCCCTTTTGTGCTGTTTTCTCACCATGGTAAACCCTTGTTCAAATCAACTCGCGGGGGGATTGGACTAATTAACACACAACAGGTTGTTCTCGCAGCGTCGATATGCACCCGCGGAGGTAAAGCGGTTCTCTCGCGCCAGTTCCGGGAGATCTCTCGGTCCCGAATTGAAGCCCTTCTCGCCTCCTTCCCCAAGCTGGCGGACTCCGGAACCCAGCATACCACCGTCGAACAAGACAACGTGCGCTTTGTGTACCAGCCGTTGGACGAGTTGTATATTGTGCTGATCACCAACCGTCAATCGAACATTCTCCAAGACATCGATAGTCTACATCTATTTGCGCAAGTCACCACCAGCATCTGTAAAAGCCTAGACGAGCGGGAGATTCTTCGCAATGCATTTGAGCTCCTGAGTGCTTTCGATGAATTGGTGACTATGGGATACCGGGAGAATCTTTCCCTTTCACAGATCAAGACTTTCCTGGAAATGGAGAGTCATGAAGAGAGAATCCAGGAGATCATTGAGCGGGTAGGTTGTGAAACCATCGGCGTGGTTAGTTTATCGCTGACATACAGTGGTAGAACAAAGAGTTGGAGGCCAGCGAAGAGCGCAAGAGGAAGGCAAAGCAGCTGGAAATGCAACGTAAAGAGGCTGCTCGCACAGGTCGTGCCGCTGCCCCAAGAACTCCATCCTACCCCGCCTACACACCCCCAGCGCGCCCCTCCGTGCCCGACACTTATGATTCATACGAGGCCGAGAAGAAACAGTCTTTCACCAAGTACGTTTGGTTGATTCCCGATTTAACCGTTACGAGACTGCTGCTGACTGTGTGATGACTAGGCCCATTCCCACTCGCGGCAAGGGCATGCAACTGGGCAAGAAATCAAAGGCAACGGATATCTACGAGAAGGTTCGGGGTGATATGGGCCCTGAAATCGAAGAGGAGAGCCCATTGGCTCCACCAGCTTCGGCTCCAGTGCACGATATTCCCTCGACCCGCGAGTCTCTCAATGCGGAACAGGAGCCCATCCAACTCACAATCGCCGAGATCATCTCAGCCACACTTACTCGCGAGGGAGCTTTGAAGTCTTTCGAGGTCAAGGGTGATATGCAGCTCCGTATCAGTGATCCCTCCCTCACAAAGCTACGACTCGACTGTCAGGCTATTCCCACACATGGCGCACAGTTCCGTACCCATCCCAATGTCGACAAAGCTCTCTTCACCAACTCCTCTGTGATCCAACTGAAGGACACTGCCAAGCGCTTCCCTGCCAACAACTCCATCGGCGTTCTCCGGTGGCGTGTTGCCAGCTCGGCCGACAATGCCGATATTCTCCCCATCACATTCACCGTTTGGGTTAACAAGGGCTCCGACTCCACCACCGTGACTGTAGAGTATGAGCTCACCGGCGATGACAGTCTCCGCGATGTGGTTGTCACTATTCCATATGGCACGACAGAGCCGGCCGTATCTAGCTTTGACGCGGTCTATGAGGTCTCCGGTGACAGTCTGGACTGGAACCTGGGCACTGTCGACGAGTCGAACGCCTCTGGCAGCTTTGAGTTCGAGGCTATTGATGCTGATGAGAATGAATTCTTCCCGATGAGTGTCCGTTTCGCCAAAACCAAGCCTTTTGTGGATGTCGACATCAACAGTGTTTCCCTGCTAGATATGGAGGGTGAGAGTGTTGCATTCTCGAAAGATGTCCGCAGTATTGCGGAGAACTTCCTTATTGAGTAAAAATGGGCTTGGAGTGCTACTGTATAGAGTTCCTAATGATGTTCGGATTTTGGTGTTCTTTTATGGCTTCCAAGATCGTGTTGAGCCAATGCCTGATTTGATTCTTTGTTTTATAAAAAAAAACTTCTTCCTCGTTCTTGCAATAATTTTACTATGGTTATCAGGCTCGGGGCCTAACAAACAAGGCCAATGGGCCCAAATTGAGCCTTAGAAGGATATAATCATCCGGACGTAATGGAACGTCAGGATTATGGGCTTGTCTCAAATTGACTCAACGAAGACGAGGGTATACCAGGGAGACGTTGGTGAGAATTGCCGTCAAGCTTTCCCTCCCCCCCCCCC